TCGGCCCTTCTGAGTTAAAGCAGGTTTGTTTGCACAGTGCTTTGGCGAGAGTGCCAAAAAATCATAAAATCATGAGTGGTGTGGAGAGGGCCAATAAAGAAAAGTTATTTATTAGTTCCCTAAATAGAAGAACTAGAGGACACCAAATGAAATTAATAGGTAGCAGGTTTAAAACTAATAAAAGAAAGTTCTTCTTCACACAGCGTGTAGTCAACCTGTGGAACTCCTTGCCAGAGGAGGCTGTGAAGGCTAGGACTATAACAGAGTTTAAAGAGAAGCTAGATAATTTCATGGAGGTTAGGTCCATAAAAGGCTATTAGCCAGGGGATAAAATGGTGTCCTTGGCCTCTGTTTGTCAGAGGCTGGAGAGGGATGGCAGGAGACAAATCGCTTGATCATTGTCTTCGGTCCACCCTCTCTGGGGCACCTGGTGCTGGCCAGTGTCGGCAGACAGGATACTGGGCTAGATGGACCTTTGGTCCGACCCAGTACGGCCGTTCTTATGTTCTTGTGTTATGTTCTTGCCTCTGATCTATATTTTTCCTTTTGGTTTCAAAGGCATCGACAATGAGGCTCTTTACCGAGCCCCTTCTGGCGCCTTCAGCAACCCTGAGCTCAAACAGGCTCTTCTGACCGGTAAGTCACCGTCCCGCTGTTCCCGCCTTCATGCTGATGGGCTGAGATGCTTTGCACTGGGTGTGTCCGAAGCTGGGAGAAGAGGTGTCTGTTGCCACCATGTGCCCCACACATGAGCAGTGTGTCTGTGAGCCCCCTTTTCATTTCCAGCATGGGCATCTCGAGTATGTATCCACTGCAGTGATCGTAGTTGTGTGTGTCATAAGCCCTATTCTGGTGACAGCTAATGGAGATTTTCCTGTAAGTCAGATGCTAAAGGCTTTTATTTTTGGAGCAGGAAGATCTGAGTTGCGTCTTGGCTGTTGCTAGGAAGGTCTGTGCGGCTGTGATGTGCAGCAGGGACTGTCATGAAGATCCTAAGTGTCTGTGCCCTTATATATACATAGCATCCTTGCGGTGCAATTATCGGCCATAGCAACAGTGTTGTGACACACTGTGTGTGTTCCCCGATGAGGTCCATATCAAATGGGCTCCGTTTCAAAGTAAGACATTGGTGTCCCTGACAGCCAGCTCTGTGTGTACACGGGGGAGGAGGGGAGGGGCAAAGAACTGTGGGTCCTGCTTGACGAGGGATGGTGAGGTGCTGTGGCCGATGGAAGCACGGAGAAGGGTGGTGTGTGCAGAAGAAGCCTGTGTGTTACAATGGCAGCCCCGGGTCTGATCAGCGAGCCAACACAGCTCTGGGACAGGGATCTGGATTCTCTTCTGGCTCACCCGTTGCTTGCAGAATGGGACCGTGAGTTCCAACCGCAAGCCACTTCGTACCGGTGGCAACACACGAGCCGGTTTCCAAGGCGCTTTGAAAACCAGGCCTTAGCTCCCAGGAAGGAGAGGGCACATGGAAATTGTACACAGTGCAGTACCGGGGACTCCAGAAACCCGCATTCGCTTCCCTGCTCTGCCACAGCCTTCCTGTGTGACCTTGGACAAGTGTCGCCGTGCCTCAGTTTCCCACCTGTGCAATGGAGATAATACCCTGCCCTGCTTCCCAGGAGTCTGGTGAGGATAAACCCCATAGAGGTTGTCAGGCGCTCAGATCTTGTGGCAGTGGTGGCCACAGAAGTACCCGAGAGCTAGGCCACAGTGATGTGCGTTGGTATCACATGGCCAGTCTGTGACAGGCAGGTGCAGGATGGTCCAGAATTCCCACTGCTGAAGCTAGAGGTGCAGCAGGGATGGAAAGTTTGCCATCAAAATGTTTATTTTTGACCCAAAAACATGGCCTTTTCCCTCTTTAAGCAAAAGTTGTCGCCAGAAAAAAATGGTTAAAAAATTACTTTTTTAAAACAAAAACAAAAAATGATCAGTTTTTCTCAAAGAATATGGAATATTTTCTCTGCAGCCCTAGTCAGAGCCACTAACCTGGGCCCCCCCCAGTGCTGGGGAAAGCGGAGGATGTGATAGACCTTGGCTTGAGCAAGGCTTTTGATATGATCTCCCACAGTATTCTTGCCAGCAAGCTAAGGAAGTATGGATTGGATACATGGACTGGAAGGTGGATAGAAAACTGACTAGATTGTTGGGTCCAACGGGTAGTGATCAACGGCTCGATGTCTGGTTGGAAGTCGGTTTCAAGTGGAGTGCCCCAAGGGTCGGTTCTAGGGCCGCTTTTGTTCAACATCTTTATTAATGACCTGGATGAGGGGATGGATTGCACCCTCAGCAAGTTTGCAGATGTCATTAAGCTAGGGGGAGAGGCAGATACGCTGGAGGGCAGGGATAGGGTCCAGAGTGACCTAGACAAATTGGAAGATTGGGCTAAGAGAAATCTGATGAGTTTCAACAAGGACAAGTGCAGAGTCCTGCCCTTGGGACGGAAGAATCCCAAGCATGGTTACAGGCTGGGGACCGACTGGCTAAGCAAAAGTTCTGCAGAAAAAGACCTGGGGGTTACAGTGGATGAGAAGCTGGTTATGAGTCAACAGGGTGCCCTTGTCGCCAAGAAGGCCAATGGCATATTAGAGTGCGTTAGGAGGAGCGTCGCCAGCAGAGCTAAGGGAGCGATTATTCCCCTGTATACAGCTCTGGTGAGGCCACATCTGGAAGATTGTGTCCAGTTCTGGGCTCCCCAGTACAGAAAGGATGTGGACGCATTGGAGAGGGTCCAGTGGTGGGCAACAAAGATGAGGGGGCTGGAGTGCATGACCTGTGAGGAGAGGCTGAGGGGTTTGGGCTTGTTTAGTCTGCAGAAGAGAAGAGGGAGGGGGGATTTGAGAGCAGCCTCGAGCTACCTGAAGGGGGGTTCAGAGAGGCTGGAGAGAGGCTGTTCTCAGTGGGGGCCGATGGCAGATCGAGGCGCAATGGGCTCCAGTTGCAGGGGGGGAGGTCTAGGTTGGATCTTAGGAAAAACCGTTTTCCGAGGAGGGTGGGGAAGCGCTGGGCTGGGTTCCCTAGGGAGGGGGTGGAATCTCCATCCCTAGAGGTGTTTAAGTCTCAACTTGCCAACGCCCTGGCTGGGCTGATGGAGTTGGGGTTGGTCCTGCTTTGGGCCGGGGGCTGGACTCCAAGACTCCTGAGGTCTCCTCCAGCCCTGGGGTTCTCTGATGTTTGCAGAGAGAGGGGGCCGGTTCAAATGAACCCCTCCAGCAAAGTCAGAGGAGCCGGGAGCCCAGCGAGGTTCCCGCAGAGCATGGATGGGAGGTTGGTTTGGGAACCAGTGGAGAGACACGGCTGGGGAGATTGTTACTTTTCTTCTTCCTTCTGTAGTTAGGGCCAGCTCCTCCCTGGGTGCAAGCCAGCAGGGCTCTCTTGTAGCCGGTGCAAGTTTATCCCAGCAATGAGATTGGCTCCTCCGTTCATTGTCCTTGTTCTCTGTTCATTGGTGGGTGCCGTCGATTCTTAGGAAGCAGGTTCTTTTTGTAATAGAATTCTCTTGTTATTTTTCAGCTCCCCCGCACCCCCCAACTCCAAACCTCCAGTTGCTTTCTGAAGGGGGAGCAGTCTGGGTCCTGCCTCTGGCTCCCCTCTTCTGCAGCCCTGGGAGCCTGCATTGGCCCTTTGGCTCACCCCCACCCAGGGTGTCGCACCCCAAGCCAGTGAACCAGCAGCGCCACCCAGAAGAGCCCCCCAAGCACAGGCTGGGGAGATCTGGCTCCTGTTGGCTTCACCCTGAGCCCCGCTAGATGGAAACCCAGACCCGGCATGAAAATCTAGACAGGTGACTTCATGCGGACAGCGGTTTGCAGACACCCCCTTTAGGGTGCACCCGTGCTAGGCGGTGACTCACTCGATCTGCCCGCTGATTCCAGAGCGGGGCTCAGGGCGGGTGTTTCCTTGATATCAAATTGGCTGGAGAGTTGGAGGGAAGGCTCCCCTCGAAGGCAATCTGTATGGTATGGGTCAGCGGCTGGGGTTGTCTGGGTATCTCCCCTGTGTCCAGCGCCCTGCCGCTGCCTGGGCCGCAGGCATTGGTGGCTTCTCTGTCTCTCTGCGGTGCACCCCAGGCCAGCCCCCTGAGACCTGGAATGGTTTGGCCTAAGCCAGGTTAGGGGGCTCAGCACAGGTGTGATCGGGGAAATCTGGCACCGGGGTTATCCAGCAGCTCAGCCCCTTGCGGCTGTAGAGCCTTGAAATCTAGTAAGGAAACGCAATCACCCTGGCTTGTCCGCGTGGCGCATGGCCCGTCCAGGGAGAGAGGCTGCAGGGGTCCCTGCCCCCAAGCGGGATGCCCAGATGATGGAGGAGGACAAATCTGGGGAAGAGGGAGAGAGCTGCAGATGGGGGGTGGGTCTTAGGGGGACAGTGGGGTGCCTGCCGCCCTGGGATGACGCACGCCCCAGTGCAGAGATCTACAAAAGGCCCCTGCCAGTCAAGATTTCCCAGCGGCACCAAACTTCAGCAGTGCAGAAGAGCTCGCTTGGGGCGAAAATTTCACCCCTGGGGCCACAGAAGGCAGCGGGAACTGACCGTTCTAGCTTGGTGCCGGTGACCGAGCAGACTAGGCCCGAAGCCCCCAGCTAGAGGCCTTGCCACCCCCCCGCCCCAAGGAGAAGAGCAGAAAAGAGGTCCTCCAGGCAGACTAGAGAGGCTGCTTCTGCTGCAGCCAATCAGGGCCCAGCAAGCGGATATAAAAGACGCTGCTGGGCCAGGGCTTGGTAGTTTCTCACTGGAGCTCGACCCAGGCGGACCTGGGGACCGACTGGGAGGACAGCGGCACCTTGGACAGCTCTGAGTGGGGGCTGGACTTCAGACCTGGTTGGAACCCAGGTCCAGCAGCTGAAGACCAGCTGTTAACAGACGACAACAACTTGCAGAATGGCACTCAGGGAGCAGGGAGAGTTTGACTGCAAAGCCCTGAGGGAAAGGGCTGGACGGAGCAGCTTCCTGGGGACGAGACAGCAGGGGACCGCAGTGATACTCAGCAGGCAACTGCTACTTACAGCATCCCTGGGGCAGACCCAGAGGAGTGGCCGGGCCTGGGTCCTCCCCAGCTCCACAAGAGCTGCCGAGGGGGATAAGACGGAGCCGGCTCCCAGGCGACCAACCGGGAAAGCCATCTGGGACCCGGCCGCTCCCAGAGCCCCTTGGGCGGCGAAGTGGCAGACACAGAGGGGTGCCCGCGAGAGACTGAGCCCCTTCGCTGTGCCTCTGGTGAACTGTGCTAATAGTTTTGGGGTCCCTACCCTTCAAACACTCTCCTCTCCCCAGCTCTTCCCCGGCAGATTTCCCAGCGCCCGCCCAACCCTGTTCCCCTTGATTTTTCGAAGAGAACCCCCGTGCCCCTGGGTGGCCAGAGGGTGGCGCTGTGGCACCAGGCAATGCCCAGCCACCGACTGGCTCCATGCAGCTCCCCGGCTTCCCAGGGCTAGCTACAGAGAGTCAGCCCTACGGATGAGGCTCGGGAGCTGCATCTAGAGACCTCCCTTCCCTGGGCGGAGGATCTGCCCCTGTGCCCAGGGAGCCCATCTGCTGGCAAGGCGGCCCTGTTGCAGCAGCAGCGGGCGGCCCGGCTGCCGGGCATCGGCCAGGCCAGGCCGGCGAGGCGCTGTCACGCCAGCCCG